AAATTTAAAAATATTGCTCATATATCAGGGCAAACCATGATTGCCCTGACTCCCCCTCTATGGGCATCGAATTTTTTTTGATAATTTATTGGACAAAATCAAACATCAAATGTGAAAATTTGAGTAGTACGAAAAATCTATTGCTTCAATTATATGTGGAACAATTTTGTAGCTTGACAGCAAGCATAAATTATTCCAGGGCATTGCCAAGCATTTTTTAAAACCCTAGAATTTTAGAAACAAACAATGGGAGGTAAAAATAACTTTTTACATTTGAACTCAAGTTCGCTCGCTGACACGTTTTTCAGTTTTTTGCATGTGTAACTGTACTTCAAACTTTCTGTGCTATTTGCTCAGCGATCGCCTAATCATACCTGTTCGCTTTATTTTAATGAATCACTTTTGCAGAAGTACTCCTTTTGTTTAATTATGTATTAAAATTGCATATAGTATTTTATGCATAAAGTAAGGTTTTTAATCATCCTGAAACTCAATATTGTTTTAAACGTTTACCCGTAGAACCATATTGAATTATCGGCGGGTTTGGCTTCGGGCACTTTCCAAATGAACAAAGTAAACAACCAAATTGTGCTTTGAAACAATCGGCGTCTCAAAGGAAAGGTTTTCCGCTATTTCAACTTAGTTCTTACCCAGTGCCACACCAAAACCTTTCAAGTGTTTCCACACACCAACGATCAAACATTCACAACACCTTCATGTACTTCAAAACATAAAGTTTTAATCGTCTTTGTTTCAGTAAATGAACTATTTAACCCCTTGTGGTAAAACCCCATCAATGAAAATGCCGCCGTTTGTTTCAAAAAGGTTCCATCTGGTTTATTTTGAACCATATACAGTAAAACACCAAGCAGACAAGTAGGACACACACAAGAAGACTGCAAAGTATCTGGGCAAAGCACTGAATGACGAGACTGCCCTCAAAACTTGCATTTTTATCAAAAACCCCAATTTACTCGCAAAATCAAGTTGTAAGATATATGAGAATGCTCGTATCACGTGGTATAAAAACCAGCCGAAGTATAAGCCAGCTGTCATATAAATCAGCTGAAAATACGTAACTGCTAAAAAGGCTGCTTGTATATTAGGGCGAAGCCATGATTGTTCCAACTTCATTTTAAGGTCAGTGAACTACAAAGGGATTTATTTAGCGTCTGTCCTAAAACTACTACCAAATGACTTGCCTCAATTCAATTTGGAACGCATTAATTTTCTGCTTACGTGCTATAAGAAGTCAATATATCACGCGTTAATTATCCCATCGGTCAAAATAGCAATTTTTAAGCCCCCATAACTGTACAAAAAATGGTCACAGATGAAATTTTTTTCTACATATGAGCTCCAGGCAGCAGTATCTTTCAGATGATGCTATAAAATTTTTTTCAAAAGCGCTTAGTTAAGAAGTCAAAAACTGACTGAATAAAAAACTATCCCAAGCATATTCCGCTTAACCGTCGAGAGTCGGAACAAAATTTATTTTATAATTCTGTAATGGCTAAGAAAATTACGCGAATTTTGGCTGCTTTTCATGCTCTGCGCATTTTCAGCTGGTACGTTCAATCTCTCGTATCAGCGCATGTGATCAATAATCCTACAGCCCCCTATGTTCACTCGAGGTTTTGAGGGCACTGAGAAAACATTAAAAAAATTCAATATAGAGAAAAATATTGAACATGAAATTTGATTTTTTGGCTACTCACAGGCAACACCAAAACTTAACTGACATATTCTGCGTCTTTCGGGAATTAATTGGACTAACTGGCTGGTCTTAAAGAAGTTCGGAATAAATAACAACGACGCAGTTAAGTTTTTGATCCGTTTTTCATGGAAGCGCGGAATATTTATGCTTTTTGTGGTTTTTAGGTCAATTTTTGGCTTTTCAAATAAACGTTTTTGACGGAACTCTTTTTTGTAACATCTGGAAGATATAGTTGTCTCGAGGTCGGAAGATATAGAAATTTTGCGTGTGATCGTTTTTCGTATAGTTATGGGGTTTCAAATGACTAATTTGGCCAATTTGGGATAATTAGTGCGCGATATATTGCGTTCTTATAACGTAAAAGCATTGAATTATATAAATATCAAAATGATATCAGACTGAGATTTATTAATACAAAACAAGACTGTAAATAAACTAATTTGAGATTTGTATAGCGTGCGGGGTAAAATGCAGAGGAAAAAAGGAATATTTTTGTTCAATTTGTTTAAGTCGAAAATTTTTTCATCAGGTTGTTAACGGCAGACAGAACATTAAGGGCCTCATCCTGATACAAAAAGTCGTCTTGTTTCAATTAAACGGGAACAATTTAGAGAGAAAAACAAAATACCGCTTGGATTTCTGACAAAACTAGAAACCAAAAATTGCACACATTAACTTATGCCACGTGTCAAATTGCATTTTCAAGCCGCGATAAATTATTCAAATTAGAAAAGAGAGAAAAACAACAGCTTTTACAAATTTTCCTCAATTATCTTTTCTTGTAAGTAGAACAATAAATAGTTTTGACGTTCAAAATTTTACCTAGCATGTGAGATTAGATTTTGTTCCGTCCAAAAAATTTTCAAAAAACTAACACCATAATTTTTTCAAAGGGTTTTCGAAAAATTTTAATGAGTTAAAAATGTAGGCCAAAAAAGTATTAATAGCATGTTTAGCGCCATAAGTTTTTCAAAAATTGTTCGTGAAAACTTATTCCGATCGGTAAGCATGCACAGCAGTTTTTTTATTATTGGTGAGCAGTAGTTGTTTAGCTTTTTTTTGCTTTTATTGTGGTGCAGTAAAACAGGTTCCTTAAAGGTTGTAGGGCTGAAAGTTGAAAATTAAAAATGGATATCATAAAATAGTGGACACACTTCGATTGGTAAAAGGTTCAGCTTGCAACCCTACATCCTTTACGGACACTGTTTAACTGCACCACAAAAAAGCTAGAGTTTGCTGCTCACAAATAACAGTGAAAAACTCCTGTGCATGTTTACTCATCAAAATAATTGTTCACTAACGAGTGTTGAAACATTTATGGCGTTAAACGTGCTATTGATAAATTTTTGTCTAACCTTTTCAATTCAATAAAATGTTTTTGAAAACGTTGTGAAAAAATTTATGAATTAAATTTTTGAAAAAAAATTTCGGCGGAACGAATCTTAATCTCACATGTTAAGTAAATTTTTTACCGCCAAATTTTTAAACTATTTTACTAACAAGAAAAGACAATCAACAAAAATTTGTGATATCTGTTGTTTTTTCTCTTATGACGCTCAAAATTGAGTTTTCTGCAAAAAAAAAATTTTTGAGATATCAAAACTTATTTTACAGCAATTACCTGCCTTTTGTGGTTTTGTTTCATGAAGTTTTTTAAAATAAAATACTTAAAACACTTAAGCTTACATTTTTCCAGAAAGTTAAAAACATTAGCTTTTTCAAATGCTCTTAAATATTTGCCTTATCTGACGAAGGTATTGTTATTTCACAAAGGTGTTATTTTTTGACCATTTGGTTTTTCGGTCGATCGAGTTGATTTTCCGAGTTCTCCTGAAACACCATTGAGATTTTAGTTTGCAAAAAAATTTCTGCGCCGTTAGCAAATTTTTTTAAAAAAAGACTTCAAGTAACATCTTTCGGCGGTTCTTAAAAGGTTTTGAACACAGTGGCATTTTTTGGTGCGCGCTCTCTGTTAAAACCTAGTATCTAGTGAAATCAAAGGCTTCTATAAAAAAATGGAATGATCGGTCTGGTAAACTGGATGTTCTACTATATTAGCGAGGAGGATACCCTTTGGTTGATGAAGGCCTCCAACCCTTGTGATAATTACGCTACTACTTGTAATCAAATGAACTTCCAAATTCTGGTTGAACTGTTTGTTTTTAGCGCCTTCTATCCATGCAGATCAAAACATATAATTATTTTTTTTGTGAGAAAACAACTGAAATTAGACTCGGACGGATCTAAGTCTTTGTGAAGGTGGAGAATTTTTATTTTTACTAATTTTTCTGATACATTGAGCAGGCCCGCTGGCAAATTAATTTAAAAATGTTCAAAATTTTTAAATTTTTAAATTGGTAATTTATTTTGAAAATGATGCAGAAACGGATTTTTGGAAACATTTGGCCAAAATCTTGCGTTTTTTGCGCTCACTACCCATGTCAAAAATTTAAAACACATTGTCACCTTGAAGCACCTTTAGGAAAGTAGTCGTAACCGTCAACATAGCCAAATTAATAGAAGTAGTAGATAAACAAGACTCGTTTACCAAGACAAAGCCCTGAATGTTCCGACTGCCCACTGTTGTCAACCAGAAGTTTTTTTGTTTGATAAAGTTTTATGAAAATAATTGAAAAAAAAATCAATTTCATAAAGTTTTACAAATTGATAAAAAAAACAGTTTTTTGCTAACTTCAGTTGAGTTTGAAACGATTTAGTTTGCCACTTACGCTTTAAAAAAATGAAATATATCGCGCGTTGGTGAGTTGATTATCATTTTTTGAACTTTAGTCGTCAAAATAGTGCCAATTTCAAACCATTACAACTTTGCGAAAAATGATCATAGCTGAAATATCTTTTAAATCAACCGTAAACGCCCCAAAGCAATTTAGGGGCCAAAAATAACTTTTTTGTAGATGAACTCTGAGGGCAAAAATAAATGATGTAATTAATATTTAATCCAAAATAGTATTTTGGTTACTTAACAGTTTAAAATATGTATTCTTTTTGATCAGCATATTTTAAGATCAAAAATTTTAAGCTGTGAATTCTTTTAAGCAGTATATTCTGCGCGCTTGTTTGAAATGAATATTTATACGAAATTACGAAATCATTTTTAAAAATAATACGTGGCTAAGTGGCTAGGAGGAGATTCTACGATAGATCATTTAGGGGCGGGGGCGGGGAGAGGTGGGGGGGTGATTGGGTGATTGAACGGTTCATCCAATCTTTTTAAGTCTGAGCCCCAGATTACATTTAACAACGAGGTTTATCTCTGCTTCAGAATTTCGAGGCTTCTCGCTTGTGACAACATTTTTGACTCCGACAACGATTTGACCTCTTACTTACACAAGCAGTGGCAAGTTTCCGACCATCATCACCAGGAGCAAACATCTCAATCTATTCCTTATAAGGAAAAAGTCGAAACAGTTTGTAGAAATCGAGAGGAGTTCCTGAAAGCGGAGATTGAGGACAGGTACTCGCTCATCAGTCGTCAGATCAACCACGCCAGACTGGCATTTCTTGCTCAATATTCACAGGTTAGTTAAAACAGTATTTTCGGGTTACATCAATTTGATACATATGGAGTTTGTTATACTATGAAAAGCTTTGTGACTCTAGGTTTTACGCCCAATTCTCTGAGGATCATCAAACATCAACTTTTTTAACGAGCAAATCAGCAAAATTTGTTTAGTTTGACTCAATCAAAATACGTTTCGTCCCGGGTTATGTTCAAAATTCAATCATCTAAAAAGATTCTCCAAAAAAAATTGAAACGAACTGCAAATCTGCGAACGGCAAAATTACAATCTGCGAACTGCTATTTTTTTCACTTTCATTTTTTTTGTAAGCAATACTGATCAGTTTTTTTGCAAAAAACTCTGTTGTCTATCAAATCAAATGTTGATTACAAAATGAGTTATTTAAAGTCATGATTTCTTTCATAATTTTGAATTTTCTTTCATAGATAATAATTCTGGAGCCATAGATTCGTATTGACATTTTTCTGTAAAAGACAACTTTGCTATTATCTTGACCAAAAACACTTTATTCGGCCAGGTTAGAGGTTAATTTAAATGCTTGATAGTTGTGTACAGTGTGTTTTCAGAACACGTTTTTTATCAATCATGGCTCAATTCGCTAAATTTTCATAAGCATGCTGCTAAAGTTTCAAACTTTTTTGTCATCATTTTTTGATCAAAGTAATCTGAATTTGAGAAAAAAATAGTTTGAAACTTTTTTTGTTTTAATTTATTCCATTGGTTATGTCAAGCATGCCTTTTGCAAAAAAGTTTGCTTCACTATCCTAAAAAATAGTGAATTGAGTGAAAGAACATAAAGAACGTGTTTTTGAAAACACGCTGCAGGCCAATTCAAAGAAGTGATTTTTAATTCAATCGGATCAAGTTATTTTATACGTCATTTTAATCTCAATTTTTTTCTTGCAACTGTTGAGACATTTAAGAACATGTACTAAAAAAACAGCTGAAATACTTTTTTGCATGATAACCAATCAGTCGGCTTGCAACGTCAATAAAAAAAGTATAAGTTAACGTTTAAAAATAAATTTGAAAAAGTTAGTTTTCGTTTAATTAGGTCGCGGTTTTTTGCCGCGGTCTCAAATTTAAGGTTTTGTGGTTTTAGTTTTGGTTTTTCATGCGTTCAATTAAAAATCAATGGATAAATAGAAGGCTTTGTACGTTCTAAAATCTCGAAAGTGCCACTGCCGTCAAAAACTTGGATAATTTTTTACCATGAACTCATTTTTTTGAGTTCTCAATGCAATGCAAAAAAAAACCCAGTCGATCCATTTTCTCAAAAACGTGTCAATAATGAAAAAATTTTGAAAAAGTTTGTGCAAATATACTTTTTTCTCTAAATTTTTTGAGTTAACTTGATTATTATTTTATTATTAAATGTCTTTGAATCGATTGCTTTTTTAGTAACCTCTAAACGTAATGAAGACTGTTATAAGGTCTTGGGGTTTTTTGTGTTTTTTTTTCAGGCAGTGAGTTTAAAAAGCTCTCATAACTACAGATGTGCATTCATAAAGATATTGCATTTATGTATTCACTTTGGTATATATGCGCTCGCTAAAATTGAGCCAATATACGTTCTTCAAAAATGACTGTGGAAATGGCGCAAAAAGTGAATGACTTCAAATTTCGAAACAGGAGTTAGTTTTTAAGTTGTCCCAGCAAAACCACAATTTTGACTATTGATCCAGTTTTTTCAAATTGGGTTAGTTTTATCAAACAAGTGTCAATCATAAGTGTGTTTTGAAATTCAAAAAGCTGTGAGGCCATGTAATTTTTTTTGCTTCGAAATTCGAAACTGAAAATTTTTTCTGTTTCCTTGCATTCACTGACTCGTTTCCAACTGTCTATTGGCTATGTTAGAGCTGTTGTATGACAAGCATATCTTTCCGACCCTTGAATTTTTCCAAGGACGTCTTAAGGGCTACCATATTCTAACTTTAAAGGTATAATTTCACCAAAAGATGCAGTTTTTGATTCAGAATTTTCTTTGAAAAGGCTCTGAAAAAAAACATTTTTTTTCAGAAAAAATATTTGTGGGGCAAAAACTTTTGCCAAAAAATGTAATTTTAGGGTTTCAGTAAAGCTTCAAAAACTTGAAATGGCTCATTAAAAAAACATTGACAACGTTTATTTTATCGAACTTTATCTTAAACTAGCTTTACGTCGGTGAAATTTGATGTTTTTTTTTCAATTTGTTGAATTATTTGACGTTCTTTCAAACAGTTTGACGAATTATTTAAACTCAATTCAGTTGAATTGATCAGATGATTTGAATTGAAAAAAGCTATGGTCACTAGTTTTTGTACAACTTCATTGTTCCAACTCACAAAAAAGTGACAAAATTGAAGATCTAACAAAGTATGAACCGCAGAGTGTAAAATTAAACAACAGCCTATAGGAAAAACCAACCTACATTTTATAATTTCCACCCTAAATGGCTTCATAAAAAACCAATTAACAGCTGTTGATTTCCAATCAATAGTAAACAACCTTGCAAAAATTGGTCTCTTACCAAATCTAAACACCTCCTTTTTCTTCGTGACCAGGCTTTCAATTGCACCAAAAATCAGATCCGAAACTAATGTAAAAAAGGTTTTCAATTTTTAGAACCTAGTAGTGAGAGGTGGCAATATAACAAAGCTTATCTCAGTTTTTTAAATTGCAGCATAACTTCGGCCAGTGTGTACTACATGTTATATTTCGTAATATTATTTGCTTGTTTGGTATTCACAATTATTTATTTTATAACAAATTGAAAAGTATATATAAATGTTCTTAAACATTCGAGTTCGGTTGTGTATATACAAAAACTGTTTGAAAAAATAAATGGGCGTGGCGTTGAATAATTATAAAGTATATCCAAGATAAAAACTAGCAAAATAGCAGAAAAAATTAAACTATAAAACAACTATATTATTCAAGCTGATTTATTAAAATTTAATTAGTGCTTTACTGTTTAATTTACAATTTTTCTCAAGTTGGAGTTTTTTTTAATTTTGAGTCTTTTGTTTACGATAAATTCATTAAAGAAAATCGCTCCATAATTGATTTTTCTCTCGAGAGGTGAGTTCGATATCCGAGATTTAGCCTCCGGGACAAAATTGTCACTTTTAAAACAATCGTTTTTCAGCATATTTTGCTATTTTTTATGGTTGACATCGTTGATTGTCTTAAGAGTCAAAGATACCTGGCCTGGATTTACGTTAAATTGCAAAGTATACAAAATATGAAGTTTCAGATTTAATTGAAATGTTTTACGCACATTAGTTTTGAGTCTTTTTCAACAAAAACGGTATTATTTGCTTCAAAATGTTTATCAATAAATTACCATGCTAAATTAACCACATCAAATTAAATTAAATTTCTTTAACTTAACTTCTGGCAAAAACTACTAAGTGAAAGTAAAAGTTTATTTATCAGATTGTCTATTATAACAATCGTACTTTTTTAATTCATCTAAAGTAATTTCAAAAAAGACGTTTCCGATTGCGCTCTTTGCGCATGATCAACTTTGACAATTGTTCTAATTTTCCAATTCCATTCCTCCGCTACCCAGCCCCCTGTCATTTTCCCGCCTGGCACAGGTGTTGCATTGGACAATAATCCCAATCGAAACTGGCAAATCAAAACAAAAACACACTTTGGAGGAGGGCACGTTTTGTTTAGCAACTTCATTAAAACACTCACTTTATTTGGCAAAACTTAGACAATTGAAAAACAAATATAGTGAATAGCTTCCGGCAAGGTAATTATAAATTTGGTCTGAAATGAAAGTTGACGAAAGCACAGTTTCTTTACGAAGCCAAATTTCACCTCCTGCTGGCCTACTTTCAAATATCCTTCGGAAAGAAATAAAGCCGTTCTTAATTAAAAGCCTGACTTAAAGTAAAGTCTGGATCTGAATACCCGGCTAAAGTTTGTTATGTTTATTGTCGCAAACTCGCAAAATTTTCTTTTGTCGCAATTTAATTGAAAACAATTCACTTATTTTTTAACCTCTTCGTGCTATTTCAAGATAAATTTTCCTCAATCATTTCGCTTTTTTTGTGAAAATTACCATTCCATTGAGAAAAAATAGTGATTTCTGATTCCCTGAACAAAATAGAATCTAGAACAAATACGTCAGTTGATTCAGTTTGTTGGTATAACAGCGGTAATCCTGGCTATTGTTTATGTTTATATCCGCTGCAGTGAAACCAGTTATCCCCCGCCTGTTATTGCTGGATTGCAAAATTAGAGCCTGGTCCGCCGTTTTTCAATTAAATCAGACTTATTCGGCTGTCCGATTCGTCTTTGTTTGTTTCGTTATTTGATTACGCACATGGTCAGATTACAGTTATACCACCTCTGTAAACAATCAGCGCATTCCGTCTTAGTTTTTGCTTAATCCTATTTTCCAAACTGTCTAAATAATAGAAAACCGTTTTTTAAACTATACTTAAAATGCAGCAGTTTCGGTTCTTTTCACTAGAAAGCAAGATGATCGTGCAAACTTCTTCGGGTAAGTTATAAATTTATAAAAACATATTTTGAAAGATTTTGTTGTATCTAGTATCATAAGGCTCCAGAGACCAATAATATTTTTGTTCAACCAAAAAGATTTCAAAGTTTTCGATTTATTCAGAAAACAAGAGTGTTTGCATGCAACAAGACAGCTCGTATCAAGGCAAAACCCATAGATATTGTGACTGCTCTTTGAAATATCAGCAGAAATTTAAAAAAAAATCGACAAAAACTTTTTAGAATTTTTTTCGTTCAATTCCCAACACACGCAATATTATGTACACGGTGATTTTTTTATCTATAGTAACAGCTTATAGAGAAAAATGGAATTGTTTTACTTCATTTTGGATTTATTTATTCGCCCCACCGGCTATTCGTTAAAAGAAAACTGATGAATAGATTTCATTAGTTATCCTCAATTGGCCATTTTGGAACCCCCATAGCTTTACAAAAAATTGTCACAAGGGTCATATTTTTTTTTAGCTCAAGACATCATT